ATTGACTTCAATGCACCGCCACGCCCCCTCCCGCCCCTGAATGCAGGTGTTTTTTCGTTGGTAGATCTCATTGAGCTTGTCATTTGAAAAGTAGATCTCCAAACGAAAAATAGTGGGCGCCGCTGATCTAGAAGTATGTGTTTGTAGATTGTCATTACTAAACATTTCTAAAAGTGTGTTTTGTTATTTTAAAGATATGGGTAAAGGTCTGCTTTAAGGTCACATGACCACAGATACCTCCTTCCTCTTCTTGCTGTTGGGGCAGCAGTCGGGATGTTATTGTGTTAAGACTTGGGGGGGCGGGGAGCAACAGAGCAGAAAGTAATTTGTTTGCCCGCCGAAAGATCCTCTAAAGATGGATATGGTGACAGGATGACGTGAATATCACTTAATTCACCACAAAGCTGACTAGGGCTGCAACAACTAATCGACATAATCGATTATAATCGATTATTGAAAAAGTTGTCAACTTTTTCAATAATCGATTAATCGGCTTCCGATCAGCTGGCCCTGTTCACAGCTCCACACGCTGTGCACCGCACCTCCTCCCCACCTCACGCTCGCCGCTGCCAGACCCGCTCGCATCCACGCTCCACACGCCGCACCTCCTCCCCGCCTCACACTCACCGCCCGCCCACATCCACGATCGGCACAGGGACGCGGGGAGATGTAGTAAGGAGGAGCAGGTGTGGGGGGATGACAGCCGCTGATAGACAGGTCCGATCTCAGAAGCAAGTTGCTGGAAGACTGCTCAGGTAAGCCTGCACTTTCCCACACATGGTGCTCTATAATGTATTGCTGGGATTTGTATTTCTCTGGTACATTGTACTGTACATTATACATAGGAATACAAATACCAGCAATGCATTATACACTGTATGTATAATGTATTGCTGGGATTTGTTGTACTCCTCTATAGCTGGTGATATTCTGCATTGCGCTGTATAGAGGACTACAAGTCCCAGCAATAATACATTATACAGCGCAATGCGGAATACCACCAGCTATAGAGGACTACAACAAATCCCAGCAATAGTACATTATAAAGTTGTACAATGCTAAATACCACCAGCTATAGAGGACTACAAAACCCAGCAATAGTACATTATACAGCGCAATGCAGAATGCCGCCAGCTATTATGTACTATTGCTGGGATTTGTTGTATTCCTCTATAGCTGGCGGTGTTCTGCATTGCGCTGTATAATGTGCTTTTGCTGGGTTTTGTAGTCCTCTATAGCCGGTGCCATTCTGCATTCATTGCTGTATAATTTTACACTTTCCATTTCACTATATTGCACACCACACTATCTTTTTTTTTTCTTTTTTTACTTCCACCGCTCCAAGCTTGCTCCTGTGATGGACTACAACCTCAATACAAACTAGTAGTCCTATCACTGGAGCCATTTTTTAAACTTTATTTTATTTATCCGATTAATCGAACTTAATAATCGGCTAACCGATTTTGAAAATAATCGTTAGCTGCAGCTCTAAAGCTGACTGGAGTGAAAGGGTTTGTAGGGCTGGCCGACATGGCCTCTAAAGATGGACACAGTGGCAGGATGAGGTCCCTATATAGCTAAATAAGGAGAAAGAGCTCAGAGGACCAACAACGCTGCATATTCAGAAAGGGTAAGATGGCGTTGTTGGCTTGGCGTAGAAAATGAGCCCACAGCAGCACTGGCAGGATTAATAGATATACACTTGGAAATGGAGAAGTTACAAATCAATTTATCATAAGAAAACCTTTTTATATTTTATGTAAGGAACTTTTGTATTTTCCTGGAGTTCTATGTTTTTTGTTTTTTTTTTGTTTTTGTTTTTAATACTTGATAACAATATAAATTACACTCAAAGTCCAGTTTGCACATTTCCCATGGCCACCGTGAGAAGAGGATTGCTGGATGCCAACCGGTTCATAGGGTCAAACTGCAAGGCTTCAGTCATACTGCCGATTTTGTGCTGTACACTGGCAAGAATCAGTGCAATTCTGAGATTGAGATCACAGGTATGTGTGATCTGCTGAGATCAGGCTTGTACAAACCAATAACGGGCTGAAAGGAGCTGTTCATTGTGCAGTTATATTTGTATAGGGACAGACTAACAACCCTGTAGTTTGTATCCAGGGGCTACTTATCTGTGCCTAGATGCATTTAACTGCTTGATGTGTGTTTTTATTATGCCAACACCTGAGGCTCTTGTTAACCTGCCAGTGATTTGTATCGGCATCCTGGCCATTGCTGATTGCACATACCTGTGATCCCAAATGCAGAATTACACTGAATTTTGCCAATGTACAGCCCTAATAGGCTATATAAATGGCTATATAAATGAAGCCTGATAAAACATGCACACATTTCTCTCCCGTTCATTGAAGGACACAGGGCAACAGATCATAGATCCTGAATGGTAGGGTATATCGCCACCTGCAGGAGTAGTACGCTAGGCACATAACAAAAAGACAAGACAGCCTAGGGGCGGCCCCTGCTGGTGGCCCAACCCCTCACTTGCTGACAAGTCTCCAGTTTTTTGCCTAGCGTCAGGAGTAAGGAGCTAAACAAAATTTCTCTGGAAATGTTTTCCCTTTCCTCTTTCCTCTTCAGATTTGGATTTGGTTCTTCTAGCAAGTGTCCCCAGGGCTACAGGCTGGATGATTTTAGATCCTTGTAGTCTCCCCTGGGTGACCGCCTTGACGCAGCGCCACCTAGGAAGCGGGATTTACCCTTGCCATCCCCTGCCTTGTCAGGGGAGTCTGAAGAGGAGGGGGAACTTCCCGCGAC